CTAAATCCATAGCTACCAAGGTTCATCTATACGGTACTAAATCCATAGCTACCAAGGGTCATCTATACGGTACTAAATCCATAGCTACCAAGGTTCATCTATACGGTACTAAATCCATAGCTACCAAGGTTCATCTATACGATACTAAATCCATAGCTACCAAGGTTTTTAGAGTACACCGGTGAACATCAAGTCCACAACACCTACAAGTTGCGAGCTTGCTAGTGTTCCACAGGACTGTCTAGAATAGTCCGTGGTTGTCATCCCTACTCTGCTGAATGACGGGGGCCATCGTTTGGGTAAAGGTTTCACTCATTTTTCACCTGTCACCCTCATCTCATGATCTATATCATCTTTCATCTCATCCTCAAACTAATCTTTCCTCTCACACCAATTATTTCATCTACTCATGTTCTACTCAACATATTTGTAGATATAAATTACGTATATAGTTTAAATCATATACAAACCTGTATAAAACATTCATCCAACATCCATCTCAATATATATATATATATATATATATATATATATATATATATATATATATATATATATATATATATAAACACATAACACGTATTTCATAGCAAATACTTCATATCTATGTGTTAGAAGAAAGTAACTATACACTCACTTGATAAGACAATGATCGGACAGCACCTCGTCTCTTAAAATAAACTTTTCCGATAAAACCGGGATGTTTTTCTTGAAAACCGGGCTTCTTGCGGGCAGAGTTTCGGCTCGGAAACTTTACTTCTCGGGATTTTCGGGACTTCGGAACTTGCTTCGGGGCTCGGGAATGATACCGGGGCTTCGGGGTAAAAGTTGCACACAAAACGATGCAAAACGAGAGAGAGAGAGAAGAGAATTTGAGCAAAAGGATCGGCTGCCCTCGCATGCCCTTTTATAGAGGCTGAAGCCTCGCATTACGCTGGGCGTAATGCTTCGGTACGCGGGGCGTAATGCTTCGGAAACGTCATCGCTTACGTCATCGGAGCACTCGAGTCCGAGGCGGTTCATGCACCGAAGTACGCTGGGCGTACTCAAAGGTTACGCGGGGCGTACCCTTCGGATAAGCTTTGGTATGCATGCCACGATCTTCAAAAATTCATAACTTTCGCATATGAGCTCCGTTTTCGACGTTCTTTATATCCACGCGTAGGTGAGACTATGATCTACAACTTTTATTTAGACTCCGTTGGCTAATTTTGAATTTATTATTATTATTTTTATATTATTTTTAGTAGGTCGGGACAGGAAAACTTCGTTATAAAATCATAACTTCTTCATTTGACGTCCGTTTCTGTCTGTCTTTTTACCGCTGGACTACTAACGATGAGATCTTCGATTCTCGTTTAGATTGTTTCGGCCAAATATCACTCGATCTCAATTTCGAGATTTGGGCTGTATACCGCTAAGTCGAAACTTAGAAAAATCATAACTTCCTCATACGAAGTCAGATTTAGACGTTCTTTTTATGCACGCTCTCGGTTTAACGTATTCTACGACTTTCATTTAGATCGCTAAGGCCAAATATCGCTCTAACATAAATTCACTATTTACGTCGCGTTGTGTCGTGCCGGTTCTGTCGCGAAACTTCGACAGGTCATAACTTCTCCGTTATAACTCGGATTTCGGCATTCTTTATATTTTTGGAAACCTTGTGACATATACCTCAACGTGGTTAAGATTATTCATTCTAAATAAACTTCCATCAAAAAATCATTTTTTTGATGCTTATCGTCTCTAAATTGACTAGCCCGGATCTACGGGCGTTACATTATGGTAACTTTAGTGAATGATTCTTAATGAGTGTTCGGTGGCGGCATAATATTTGAAGGAATGAAATATGTATAAGAAATTAAAATCCGAATTAATTAGAATCAATTATACGTTTGGTTGACATAAAAATGTAATATATTTTTATGTTTGGTTTTCAAATTTGTCAAAAAAAAACTAAAAATTAAATTAAATAATATGACCAAAATACTATTTATTATTATTTTTTAAACTTATTACTATTATTAATAAAAAAAGGAAAAAAAAAATATTTATTGAACTCTTATCCGTGCAAACCTATGGTTTTTTTTATTGAATTTGCAAAAAATATAGCTTTAAAAAACAAAAATATATAATTATACCAGATAAAAACAATTAATACACATCTTAATTTGGGGGCTAGATTTATGGTCACTTAATTAGGAGTTTGGAAGGGGGTGGAGGGGGTATATATGTCTGTGTGTGTGGAGGGGGGGGGGGGGGAAGTGGGTTGGCATATGCGAGGAGGTATGGAGGTAGGTTTAAGTATGGTGAGGGTGTAGGTGGGAGTAACATAATGGGTATGCATGCTATGGGTTTGTGTAGGTGTGTTGGTAGGCATGTGCATATTCCGGAGGTATGATAAGTGGATAAGGCGATTGAGGTGGTAAGGTGGAGTGAGTTAATGAGGTAGGATGGATGGGATATGGGCAGATGAGATATGTGTGTAGGTAGGTAGGCCAGCGGTAAGGGTTGGGGTGTATGGATGTGAGGGTGGGTGTGACAAGGTATCGTGGGTGGTAAGGTATCGTGGGATGGGTGTGTATGGTTATATATGTGTGAGATGATTATAATCTGTTTTGATTTGATAAATAGTGACTAAAATAAAAAGGAGTTAAGAAAACATTTTTTAATAAAAAATAAAAAATTGAGTGTAAAATATTTGTTCTTAGCCGAAGAATGTCGAATTCATTAAAACATATAATTTGATAATCCTTTTTATAATTATAATTCTATTAATTTTGTTAACCAAACATACGTTTTATTTGATTTACATGGGATAATGACATGTCTACAAGTTTTTGTCGGTTTTACCATTAAAACCCGATGTTTGCATAAAAAAAATACCCTCTGGTTTGATAGAAATATTCGATTTTATCATTTTTCTGGTTCATGAAAACCCTTAAGTTTGATTTTCTGGTTCATTAAAATATTTAAGTCTGACATAAATAGTGATAAAAATAAAAATGAGTGGGTGTGACACGGTGAGTGAGGTGGTAAAATATGGTAGGATTAATATATATGGTTGGATGTGTGAGATGATTATAATGTGTTTTGATTTGATAAATAGTAAATAAAATAAAAGGGAGTTGTGAAAACATCTTTTTTAATAAAAAATATAAAATTAAATATAAAATATTTGTTCTTGGCCAAAGAATGTCGAATTCATTAAAACATATAATTCAATAATCCTTTTTATGATTATAATTCTACTAGAAAGGTTACCCCCGTTATGCGGGGGCCAGAAGCTTTCAATGTTGTTTCCGAATTGATAAAATATGACAGACATAGAAAGTGCAAGGATGAAAAGTCTGGGCTTTGCCCTGGACAAAAAATATAAAAGTTTTGACTGCAAGGACCAGAAGTGTGAAAATGGCTAAAGAATTAAAGGGGTAGGAATTAGCAACTTTTTAGAAAAGGGATCAAAGTTGTCAAACCGTTAAAGTTTTGTGGCCAAACTTTAAATATTAAAAGGTTCCAAAAAAGTGTAAAAATATTGATTGCAAGGACCAAAAGTGTCAAAATGGGTAAAGAATAATGAGCAAAGTTGCCAAAAAAACATCCAAATTTAGTATTCCTAACTTCCAACAATAATACAGGGACCAATTCTGCCAAAAAAATGGGAAGTTGAATGGAACACAAACAAAAGGACATGAATAAATCAGTTAAAGAAGTACAGGGACCGGATATATAAATCAAGGGACCAAACCTGGACAAAGTATCCCAACTTCACTATTCTTTTCTTCCACAACTTTAATATATATATAATAATTAAGTTTGTTAACCAAAGATAAGTTTTACTTAATTCACATGGGATATGACATAAAAACCTTTAAGTTTGCAAGTTCTTGTTGGTTTTTACCCTTTTGTAGAACTTAGGTTCATTAAAACTTGATGTTTGCAATTTGTTTTTTAATTTTACCATTTGGGCTATTAAATCTCTTACGTTTGACAAGAATGTTCAATTTTATCTTTTTCTAATTTATAAAAGTCTTTTAAGTTTGGTTTTCTGGTTTATTAAAACTCTTAAGTTTGATATAAATTTTCAGTTTTACCTAGGGGTGAGCAAAAACCAAACCGATAAAAGAAAAACCGTAAAAACCGCAATAAACCGCCACCGGAAAACCGAAACCGATGCAAAAACCGATGGTGCGGATTTTATTTTTTTGAAAAACCGAATTTATTGGTGCGGTGCGGTTTTTATCTAGAAATCGGACCACCAAAACCGAACCGCACCGCAAGCTTATTAACAATAAAAAACTCAAAAATTACAGCTTCTAAATGTGAGGAAACGAAATGACACCATGTCATACAATCATAAATATTCACATGAACACTACGGTTAAAAAATCATATCGGTGAACATAAAAAAACTGCACCATATGATTGACTCGGTTTAAAACCGACACCGAACCGGTACAAACCGAAACCGCACTCAAAAACCGCAAAACCAAACCATTGAAAAACCGCACACAACGGTTTCTAGAATTCAAAAATCGCACCTTGCGGTTTGCGGTTCGGTTTGGCCCTAAAACCGCACCAAACCGCACAATGATCACCCCTAGTTTTACCTGATAAATTTGCAAAAAAGATAAAATAAAAAAAAATGCAAATTTGATACATTAATAAACCAAAAATAGGACTTTATGTAAGATAAACAAAAACTTACAAATATAAAGGGTTTTATGGCATTTTGCCCAATTTACATTCCAACTATTCCAAAAAATAAAAATAAAAATAAATTATTTACCATTCTTTTACCAACATTCTATACATATTCACTCATTAGATGGTCAAAAAAGTCGAATTGTAGTTACAAACTACATTATAAATTTTAAATTTTTTTTTTTTTTGATGACATACAATTAGATGAATAATATGTATAATTTTAAAAAATAACTATCCAATTTAATTTAAATTATTTAAATACTAACATAAATCAGTTTATAAATACCCATATGAAATACAACATAAGACCTGTTCTAGTAGATGTTGGAGGTTGCTCAATTTTTTCGATATTCACGATAAATTCAAGGGTATCTGGCCAACACCTCCGCCCATAAATACGTCGATTTCTCCAATCAACTCCGCAGCCTGCCAATTATCAACCTCACAAGTTTTCAAAGGTTCGGATCTCTCGAGTATTAAACTTAATCGCCGGTTGAAGAAAACGACGTTCGATCGGCTGATTTTGGCGTTTGATTGAAGCAAATCGAACGGTTGTTTGATCTAACATCACCATGAATCGTTTGTCTTCGCGTACCACTTCAAGGATTTTCACGATTGTTTGAATTAAGAGATATATAGATCGTCTTCTGCCATCGTTTACCAGTTCGAGGGTTCTCTTAACTGGATGTACTTGAAGATCGACGGAGTGTTATTTGTTCAAATCAGAAGAAAAGAAGACGTTTTTAATTTGGGGTTTTGATCTGAAGGCAGCTCAAACATTGAACACAGGTACTGAAAGAACACATAAGTATTGTAATTTTCAGTGTTTTTAGGTTTATTTCCCAATGAACGAAGAGGATTCGCGGCTGTCTGATCGATGTACATAAACATCTGACGGACCTCCAGTGATTAGATCTGATACGTATGTTCGTCTCCGGATGTGTTTACCGAAGATGCGTCGTTTACTTGATGATTCGATGAACTGGAGAACCTAAAGATGTGCGTTACGATTTAAATATCCTAACATCGAAAGCAGCTAAAGGGGGTTCCCGAAGGAACGCTTGTTTCTACATAGGGCACGGATCCACGATGAACTACAAAAAACTTGTGATTTTGTCTCATATATGAACGTCGTTTTGACTTTGATTTACTTCCTCGATCTGATCTGCGACGTTTCATCACTTGTTCGTAGAAGAATCTGACCCATCGAATCGTGTTTTGAGGATCGGATTAAGAAAACTCCAACTCCTCTGGATTTTTGGGCCAGTCTCCCAGATCTATAAAGAACTTAATGGATGGCTGTAATCACACATAAAAAAAATCGTCCTCTATCTTCCATTAACGAAACATCATATTGACGTCAATTCTACTTCTTTGATTGGCGTGCACATATGGTTTCCAGACCTAATCATATTTAAACCTTGTCAAAACACCTCATGGGATATCTTGCACATGAACGGATCTCGTAAGAACTGAATGAAGGATTTACTTTCTAACTTCTCTTCTGGAGTTCCGATAATGTTCTTGATGCATCATCCTCCAATAGCTTTAATAAATCTGGTCAATACTCTATACACACAACCATCTCCTTTAGACACCATGATTAAAGCTGAAGTAGTAATTTTACATATGTGGGTCCTTGATGTTGGGTAGATTGATTTGTTCTGAATAATATCTTGTGACTTATAACAAGGTTGAATCTTGTTTAATAACAAGTCGTCTCCATGTAACAGAAGCTGATAGTGGTACAAAACCTGTTTCAACTACAATGGACCTGGAACTTGTGAAGTTTATCAACTCAGATCTTACATGGAATGCTGTTAAAAAGGGCCATAGGAGCATGATGAGGCGCCCAAGGAAGCCAGCAGCAAGCAGTTCAGCCATTAAAATGCAGGAATCTGTAGCTTTTGATTATGAGAAGGTATTTTATATTTATTTACTTGTTGTTCATATATCTTTATAAAGCAACATGATTTTTACTCTTGTTTGTGTTCTTGTAGTCTGGTGTAGCCATTCTTGGTCAACACTTTGGTGAAGAAGTAGTTGATGTTCCTATAAAGAAAAGAATTCTTATGCTTCAGTCTCCATCTCTCAGCAATGAAAGGGCTAATAGGTCAACTCAACCTCATCCTCCCTCTCCTCATCATGAGAAACAAGAGTGTCATTCAATGAAGTCAAAACTGATAGAGAAACAGATTCCTGATCTTAATGACTTCTTTGGTATAGAACTTCTTGCAGCTGCTGCATGCCATACCTCTGTTTATGACACCCCTACTCCCATGGAGTCTTCTGCAGTCGAAGAACACACAACAACAAAAATTGTTGAATCATACACCGAAGGTGTAATTGTAAAAGACGATATTGCCCCTGTTGACTCAGATGATTCATCAGTTCAAGATAACACATTCCCAGTTATTATTACAAACGATAATGGGAATAGTGAGGGTGATAAAACATCTGTTCCTTCAAAAGATGTTAGGTTGCATTGGGATTTGAACACTGTAATGGATGAATGGGAAGAACCCTGTTGTGATATTCTTGTTGATCCTCATTCTGAAAAAGGGTATCTAAAAGATGATGATTCACAGAATGAAACTAGAAATTCTCAACAGGTGAAATCAGATGCAATAGACAAGTCTGAAGGTATTCAGGCTGTTTCTGAAGTAGTACAAGGTGGATCATGTCAAGATGATAAGGTTTCTTCAGAAGATCGTCTCAGTGATTGCTGTGGGTCAAACAAAGTCAAAGCAGGAGGAGGCTATGATTCTCCTGTTGAAGATGGTGAGTTAAGAGACACGTGGCAAAAGAATGAAGTGGAAGAAATGGAGTGTGTAGACTATGAATCAGATAACATATATGAAGATAACTTTGATGCTATTGAATCAGTTAACAATGAAGTCATTGAATCACTCCCCAACAATGAAATCGAACAAGATGATAAGAAAAACATCCCAAGTATATCAAATCAGCTTCCGGAACCTTCCAAATCAGAAGAAAAGTGTAGAACTTCGTCTTTTGGTGTTCATAGAAACAGGTAAACTTTATGTTCTTTACAAATAACAAAATCCAGTATTTCATAATTTTTTCTATCTTCTAATTCTTTTTTTTCTTGAATTCAGATCTGAAAACTTTCAAGATTCTTATTCAAGGGGTAAGAGGGATTTTGGTCAAGAAAAGTCAACGGGAAGAGATGGAGTATCTTACCATGGTTGGGATTCAAGAAACACTCAGAATCACAGGTACTCTAATAACAGGCCAAAACATGTGATTGGAGGTTACAATCAAAGATCCAGTTCTTACAAGACATTTAACACAAAACCAGAAAGAAATGAATCATATGGTGTTTATAGTCGTGATAGAGTTAAAGGTGGATTAGGGTTTCATCAACAAGGTTCAAGAAGAGGTGAAGACTACAATGGTCATGATCAAGAAAGAAAAGTCTCTTCCTTTTCTCCAAATTTCACCCGTGGGCCCCATCTTTCAAGATCTAGAAGACGATCTAGGTCAAGATCAAGGTCAGAGTCTCCAATTGCATGGAATTTTCAGAAGAAAAGCAAAGTGGATACAAAAAGAGAAAGAGAAAGAGAAAGAGAAAGCCCAGATCATATTCATATTCATAAGACTGATAAATACAATAGCAACATCAATGGTGAATCAAGAGATAGGAATAATCTTGGAAGAATGAAGTCATCAAATGATCATTTTTACCCTACTTTTTCACGTTCAGGAAGGTATCCACCACAAGGAAGTGGTCAATATGATGAAAAATACGGAGGGCGTTTTCGGTATTATCATAAAGATAATGGGTTCAGATACACTCGTAATGAAAATAGGTACTTCAAAGATCCAGTTGGAGATGGAGTGGAATGATTGCTTCTGATTCACAAGGGGATTATTAGTTGGTATATAAGAGACTTTTTTTTCTTTTCTTAATTGTTGATCCTCTTGTTTTCTTTACTATAACTTTTTTTTTTTTTGAGTACTTTTAGAACTTGGTAGGGGTATTTAGGACAAATTTTCGTATTGTCTTCTGAGTTTCTGTTCTTATTGTAATATGTGAAATTGAGAAAATTAATCACACAAGGCAGAACTTTATTTTCTTAAAATACTTCTACTTTTCTTCTTTACACACACAATGCAAACTTCAATTCAAGAAAGAAAGGTATATTTCATTATATTCTAAAACTTTTTTTTACATAATGTTATATAATTTATAAAGAAATATTCCCATTTCTTTCACCAGGTAAAGCTGATAGACTGAAAAACGAATTTTTTTGACAACTCAGATGAGCAAATCGCTGCCACGTCATCCCTCATCATCTTTGGACCACTTACAAGAACTCCAATTCTAGATCCTTCACATTTTGTAAGTATTTCTGCATTATAAAATAAAAGATTATAAAATTAACTCATAGTGATAAATTAATAATTTTAGTTAGTTTTCTTACTCTTGAAATCTGGTCTTTCTCCATAGTTAACATTAGTAGAAGCCCCGATTAAAGATTCATAAGGAAGACTTTCCATCTCTCTATCCTCATTATAACACCAAGAACTCAAACCTGGAGACGCCAATGGCGAGGGTAAATCCGTAATTTGAATCTGCCCCATTTCTTTCAAATTCCTTCTCTTGTTCCACAGAAAAGCGATAGATACAGTTATAGATATAGCTGTACATATAAACACCATACTACAAACCGACCTTATAGAATACGAATATATCATATTTGTACCCTTATCAATCGGGTATATATAAAATCTTGTGAAAAGCGCGATAAACACAAGGGAAATGATAAAAGAGAACACAATTATCATTCCCAACCAAATCCAGTTATTTTGCCCTAAAATTGGAGAAATCGGTGCATCAAGGGGATTCGGTTTGAACCATATTGTTCTGTGAAGGTGTTGTTCTTCAGTTGTGTGCCCTATTTCTTGTGTTACATAAGGGCAGATTTGTAATTTCAAGCGAGATATATCAAGTGTAGTGGGTGAAATAGGAAGGATAAGTTGTAGCATCGCAAGATCTTCAGATTTTTTGAAAGATGGGATAAGGAGAATTTGTGGTGTGTTGTTGTTGTTGTTGTTGTTTTCCATGTGAAGAAGCTCACGAATTATGGAGATAAATGGAGTGATCCCACTTCCACCACTAAACATCACAAGCTTGTCATACCTGTGTTAATTTTTAAATTTTTTTATTGTTAAATAAATCATAAAAGTTTTGGAAGTTTCTCGATTTTGATCATTTTATATAGAAATTGGTTAATAGTTGATGGTTTGCTTACTGTTGAAAATTGGTTGAAATAGGTCCATATGGCCCTTCCACCGAGACTTGAAGATGATCCATTGGTGAAGGCATTGAAAGCTTTTCATAAAGCTTTTGTGACCAACTTCCTTTACTTTTAATAACAACACTTAACTTTTCATCATCAAAATTACTACTCGAAGTCACTGTAAATGGATGCCATTGTAGTTTTGATATACTAGGTACATTCACAAAAATTAAACTCGTTGGATTATATTTAAGCCCTGAAAAAAAAGAAGAATTTAATCAACTTATATGTTAAAATTTATTAAAATATTTCGATTTACCTCGTGTTTTGGAGAAGTTTAATTCTACAACTTGGCATGGTAAAACTCGCGCTGAAACTAAACGGACTTTTTGTTGGGATTGTAGGAGACGTAGGATTCGATCTATCAGAAAGAGGTAAAAACCCGGGAGACTGATCCAAATATAAGAAAATCCAACATGGAGTATAAAAAACACTACAAAAAGAATATAAAGGTGGTGTGAGTAAAAAAAGAGCTCAAATATATTTCTTCTGATACGCGATACGCTTGTTAACCAAATGACAATTCCTATAAATAAACCGACTTCTCCCGCCACATTCGATATCCCGATCTTCTCCCATTTCATCATCTACATCAACACACAATTTTCAGTTGATTGTTTAGGGTTTAAGGTTTAGGGGTTGGGGTTTTGATTGTCTTACCTGTGAAATTTGGTGTGTTGTACCCCAAAAGACGATGTAACATAAACCATGAGCAATGAAGAACATCATAGTGAGATTTCCGATCCATATGTGATACTTGATGGTGGATTCTGATGTGAGACCAAGTAGCCGGAGCACCGGTGACCCTCTAGTCACTGGAAAAAATAAAAGGGAGAGACATATGTTGCCAATAAGTCCTAGCATCAATGCTATGCTGTCTAACTTCACTTCCCACCTGGTTAAAGATATTATATTTAATTTAAAATAATGGTAATTATTTATGAATGATAGTTTTTAAAATTTATAAATATACGTAAGAAACTATGCTTTTGGAAATTGTTGTTTTAATTGTATACGATAGAACCTTAAACTCACCGTTATTACTGGTTTAACATTCTATACAAGAATGTTAACTTTAAGGATCTATTGTGTACAATCAAAACGACAACCCTTATAAATCATTAACTCTAAATGGATGTGAGATTTTGAATTTTCTTACACTTTTTCGCCCATTTTAGATGCGGATTGTGTAGTGATATTGGCAAACATGGCATGTAAGTAAGCCGAGAAAGACCAAACCAAAAGTGCCACAAACATGATGAGAAATGACACTTCTGTCCAACTAATGATCCCAAGAGGACCTCTCACAATTGCTAGTTGTCCCCATAAGTTGTTGGGTGTACTTTGATGGTGTGAAAGCTTGTTTTGAAGGTGAAGGTATATACATGACATAATTGCAATTATGAGGATTGGGGTTGTGTATATTACAATATTTCCACCTGAAAATATAAGATATATAGATATATATATATATATATATATATATATATATATATATATATATATATATATATATATATATTATTTGAAGCAAATTAAGATAATTACTTTAATGGTATCTATCAATTACTAGGTTTACACGAACCTTGTTGTTGACCGAAATAGGATGAATTAGTGGCAGAATGGATACGAGGTAACCAATGTAGCCAAAATGTGTTTGTAGGCATCATCACCCATATCATTATGTACCCTAAGAAGATGGTGATCACCATTACCTTTATTGTGAGTTGAATCATCTTGTTTGTACGTGTATGCTCTAAAGATCGAATATTTGTTTCCATTTGTTTCTTGAAAATGTGTGTGTGCGTGTGTGTATTTGAGGTTGTTGAATGGAAGAAGTGAAATGCAAGAGACCCTTTAATATAGAAATGGTGTGACGTTTTGGTAAATTAGTAGTCAGACTGGAAACATTTAGATTCAAGAGGGGATTTGTAGTACAAATTAGGAGCTTGCTTTCACACTGGGCAAAAATGACAATTCACATTAGGTTTAAGACTAGTCAAATTATGTGGTGTTTTTGCACATTCCCTTATTTTGTTTGTTATTCGAAATTATGTTAACGTAAGATGAGTATCTATTGAAATTAATGTCGAAGATTTTCATAGGTTGATTGATGGAGGGAGTAAACAGTTTATTAGATGTCTTTTACATTTGATAATGTGAATTGCACCGATCCTTAGGGCTTATGTCGCTTTTAAGGCATGTTTGAGATGTGATCATTCAAAATACTTGATAAAAACGTTATCTTGTAATTTATTCAATATTATAAGAAAATGGTCTTGACCCTTTAAACGATCCTAAATGGCATAAATACATGTTAACTTCATGTCAAACAATGAGTTTTGTAATGACTCGAAACTAAAGGTATGTTTGGCAACATGTTTTTGAGAGTTTTTAAGAGCTTTTAGCTTCTGCCTTTTAAGAAAAAAACTCGAATTAATCTTCGTTTGAAAGTACAAACTTGAAGTTTTTATTTTATATGAAAAATTCATAATCTAAAAACTAATTTCAATGATTTTTGATAGCTTTTAGAAGAACTTTTAGCTTCTAGTTTTTATATTTTATGACAATTCACACATAAAAAGCTTATGAAAGGTGTTGCCCCACTTTGACTTTCTCAAACCTGATGGAAATGGTGAAACATATTATAAGTGTAAAAAGTGTATTAGCCACTAGAAATAACATCGGACTGTTGGCATCTATAACCACCGATGGATTGGTTGCTATCTATCTTTGGCAACCCATTTCATTGATAGTTCTTGGTGCTTGCAAAAACTAATCCTTAATTTCATTTTTTTTGCCTCTATCACACACCGGTGTTGCTACGAGTAATCATGTTTTTAGCCTTTTGAAGGATTGGGGAATTATAAAAAAAATGTTTTCAATTACTTTGGATAATGCTTCTTCCAACGATGTGATGGTTGATTTTCTTAAAACTGAAATTGATTCGCTTTTCTAAGGCCATCATACTTTCATGTTAGGTGTTGTGCACACATTATGAATTTAATTGTGCAAGACGTTTGAAAAAGATAATTGATGTTGTAAATTTTAATAAAGGTCGGAGTGAGTGTAAAGGAAGAAAATCTAGTGTTGCACATGTAGAGTCACAAATTTACAATTATCTAAGGGTCTAAGTTAGTATTAGACATAGAGTTTTGCAATATTTTTTAGAATCCTATTTGTGAGTTTACCCATGCCATTTCATATACAAAATAGTCTTTAAATAACATGCCATTTCAAGTAACCAAGAATTATTATCCATTAATCACCACCGAGTTGCCCAAAACATAAGAAACATAAATCCTAATATGTTTCACTACAATACAAGTCAAAAGCTTGACTGCATAACAACTATTACAAAAACTATTAACCACAAAATCCCATTTTACTTTGACCCTCTTCCTCTTGGTGTCTCTGTCAAGATGAAGCTAGGAAACTCATCATAATCCTTCTTCATGTATGACCACATTCTTGGAGAATTAGGGCTTCCAAAAATTGGGGATCTTTCTCCAAATGCATCATCTTCTATTATCGGCTCAAGTATCTCCTCCATTTCCATCTCAACAAACACATTTTCATCCCTTGGTTTTCTTGCTACTTGATTGCGTTTCACAGATTCACAACAAACATCTATAATTCATATAAACAGGTTATTAGCTAATTACTTGCAATTGAAAATAGATGAAAAAAAGTGAAAATTATGACAATACCTTCATGTAGCCCAATGTTCTTCAAGAACTGATCAAAATCCAAATCCAAAGATTTCTTCTGTGATTTCACACATTCATCATGGTTATGAAGGAATCGTTCTTCTGCAACAGCTATTGAGTTCTTTCCCTGATTCTTTTTCTTTGAAGATTGTTGCTGCTGAGTCAATGGTTTGACCGTGTTTGTAAGGTCACCCAGTGCTTTCCTGCCACTAACTTGAGTCTTCTTGGAGACACCGAGATCTTCCCCAATTGGAATCACATTCTTGGGATTTTGTTTTCTTGATGTGTTGAGTGCAGGTGGTTTTCCAGAGTTTGAGATGTCGTTAAGTGCTTTCCTTCCTCCAAGACCCCCTACTCTGTTCTTTTGAACAGTCTTAACACCTGAAAGGAACAATCATATCAAAAATGGATATTAGATTACAATCAAAAACTGGAAAAAGTAAAAAGATTGTAAATATTTTATCAGGAAACATACCGTTGAAGTGAACACTGAAATTCTGATCTTGAATAACATTCATCGCCATCTTTTGTAATCTCGATTTGATTTCCTGCAGTCGGCAAAAACAGATTTCAGGCATTGATGAAGAAAACACGGATTGATAAATCGTTTATGGGGAAATTGGTGAATCAAATTCGAGAATGTAAAACACGCAGAATAAATGCGATTTCAAATGATTTGAAACCCTAACAAAGAGGATTTATTGATAGGTCAGATTCATTGAAATTTTGAAGTTCCGTTTCCGAATTCACCTACGAGAAACTACAGACGTTTTCGACACTAATAAATGCGATAATGCGCTGCAGATAGATATTTTAATCAACGAAAAATAGAAACTAAACACGAAAAATCGAAATCAGTTATTAAACGAACAAATCGATATCTGTAATTCAACTACTAACATACAGACAGACTAAATTAGGGGTTTCTTGGAAGAAGAATACTTACAGATTAGTATAGCGATCGAGCGAAAGAGAGTGAAGATTTTGTGCTTTGAACTGCAAAATTTCTTTGATGGAAAACGATTTTTTTGTAAATATTTTATCGAAACCTTCGGTATATAAACGAGGGGGAAGACTCCCTCACAACGGTCATATTTTTTCTTTCTTTTTACTGTTTTGCCCCTGGAGTGGCAATTATTTACATCAATTTATTTTCCCACAAAATTTTGTCCGTTCATGTAAATAAAGGATCTTAACAAGGGTTTAATACAAAGCCTAGTTTTTTTTTTTTTTTTTTTTTTTTTTTTTTTTTTTTTTATTTATAGAAATACTTATATTTTAAACAAAATCTAATTTTTATATATTTCTTTTTAGTTTATGAACAAAGCATATTACCAACAAGTAAATTGGATTTATTTAATATAAGACCTTATATCTTTGTATTTTTTTCGTTTTAGATTTTTTTTTATCAAAATAAATTCAACTTTAACCAATTAGACATTAAAATTTCACCTCACCCAGTTGGGAATCCGGTTGACTCGTCCCAATCAGGGACATGTATTTCTTTCAAAAACGGATATTGGGTATGGGGTCGGGGTTGAGTATACCAATCCCCAACCCGCCCGCCCTTACTTTGATGACATTATATATATATATATATATATATATATCTATATATATATATTATATATATATATATATATATATATATATAGCTATGTTATTTTGTTTCTTACATCTATTGTGTGCCCGTAAGCATAATTCTAGACCAATGGATGAATAAAATCAATGATCATGATCTGAAGGTCTACGATATTACAATAGAGTAACATATACCATATAATCACACAAATTTCAGCAGAACGGGTGTTTTGGTCAATTAACCTATATTAAAAAAAAGAAATTTGCGGATTTTAAAGGATAATTAATTTCCTTTTTTTAAATATGATATTTTTAAATTAATTCAAATTTAATTCTATTATAATTTCTAATACTAACCGATATTATTCTGTCAGAATGACAGAGAGTCAAACATAAACTAGTAAATATATTTTCGATTTTATTCTTTCAGAATATGGTTCATTCAATATAGTTTTTATAATCAACATGCTTCAAGAATTATACAACATTCTATCAAGAATAACATTTTCTAAAGAATACAAATTTTATTTTTTAAGAATCAATAATTACATTAATTCGTAAAAAAATAAGACTTACATTTATTCTTAAAGATTAAAACTATGAATAGTTAAAAAAATAAAAATAAAAACATCAAAATCTAACAAAAACACTAATCCATTCTGAAAGAATATTATTGTTAAGAAACACTTTATACATTTTAGCATAATACATTCTGCTAGAATACTCTCGTTCTCCATGTTTTCTTCTTTTTCCATATCAATGACAGCCTCTTCAAAATCTATATCTACAAGGAAAACATAATCAACTTTAAAATATTAAAACTTTTAGTATATTCTAAAAGAATAAAACTATAAATTCTAATAGAATGTGTTAGACATTAAAGACTTTTAATTTATTCTAACAGAATGTAATACTCGAGTCACTTGATCAAGTATTCCCCGAGTCACTAGATCAAAAATAATCGACTTAATCTAATTACAAGCAAGAATGTGGGAGATATGACAGTACAAAGATCACAAAAATTTTCTGAACAAAGTAGAAGTGCTAAAAATATAGCTGTAACATCCAATGTTCGAAGGACTGTAACTTAGCCAATGTTAATCCAATTAAAATGGCTTCAAAACCTAACTTTTAGCTAACATAAAGGAGAACATGCATAAAAAAATTTCAAATCATTCCAAGCTAGTATGAGAGAGATATGATAGTTCAAAGATTACAAAAAAAAAATTGGCTGAAATATTTGATTCAAGCATTTTAGCAAACAATTGGCGGGCAAAATCAGATGCCCATATCTTTATACTCAATTTGATGAAACATACAACATATGTAATTAATAAATACATGAATGTGACTAAATTTACAATAAAAAAGTGTATACCTTTAAGTACTAACGAGTAATTTGAGATTCCATGCCATAAAATCGAGATTCCATTATGACAAAATTAGAACTTGATCTTCCTTTCCGACAGAATTAGAACTTGATCTTCCATTCCGGAAGAATTGCTGTCAGATACACCCATAATCAAAAATTTGTGGTAATTATCTAATCATAAGAATCAAAATTGCAAAAGGAGAGAGAGGTATAAAGGACTTACAGAAACAACTTATTTCCTGAAATTTGCTAATTTCACCATCACCACCTGACATGGATTTCCAACTTCACTATTTTAATCAAGAAAAGATAGAGGCAAAGGGAGAAATAACCCAAATGGTTCCCTACGCTTGGTTATGATTTTCAATTCAACATCGGGAGAAGTTGAAGATGATGGCAATGTTAATGATTATCATTTATCAACCACATATCCCTGGAACAGCAGCATAAACAACAACATGAATATCCAGAATCAAGCCCTAATTTCTGTTTCTCCTCTACAATGCTTGTTTTCGGGGTTGAAATTCTTTTTGTAGATCACTGAAGTACATAAATCAATTAAATGAAAAAAATATGATATGGTGATGAAATTATTAGACTAACCTGAAGTTGATTCGAGGATATCTTAAGAAAAACCAACATACGAAGCTTCCCAAAGGCTTCAAGAAGATTTATCGGACATAGCGACCTCTTCAAGTTGATTCGCCAAGCTTTCTTCGATCTTCACCAGCCGCAACCTAGCAATATCAACAAATTCATGATCGGAGCACTCGCCTAGGGTTTTGAGTACAGATCATACACGCATGGAATAGAATTGATTAGAGATGGTTATAAATAAGAGATATTAGGTCAACATATATTTATTTTGTTTCCTTAATTGCAAGTGCAAAAAACCAGAAATACCCATTTTGATTTAATTAATTATTTAATTATTTGCTAAATTGTAATTGGTGCATTTAGAAACACAATAGTTGCTAGAAACATTTGAACCTAGCTCTCTCTCTCTCTCTCTCTATCTCTCTCTCTCTCTCTCTCTCTCTCTCTATATATATATATATATATATATATATATATATATATATATATAGAGAGAGAGAGAGAGGGGGGGGGGGAGGGTTTAAACTTCAATTGAGAAAAAAAATTGAGAACAAGGGAATGAATCTGTGCCACTCATTTCAAATCTGTCACTTAAACGTTCTAGTGTATTGGTCCAACGAAACATATCATATATATATATATATATTGTCACACCCCCGGACCAGACGGCGGAAACGTCCGGAGGCGGGACTACATTGTGCAGTATCATAACAATTGAATATAAAAGAAACAGAGCAATCCAAACATCATACATTGAGATAACAAACTTACATTGTTTACATGTTGTATTTGTCCTTCGAATTACACAAAAGAGACATAAGCAGAAAATTCCAAACTACAGCTAAATAGTCATGCATCCACGTCCCTTGTTACCTGCTTACTAGATCCCTGAGAATACAAGTCGTTTTGAAAAGCGTCAACTAAAAAGTTGGTGAGTTCATAAGCATTTTTGTATAAGATAGTTTTACACTTGTTTAGAATCGTTCTCATTGTACTTTTAGAAAATCCGATATTTTCTATGAAATCGTTTAAAGCCTTGCTTTGAAATCATGGATATATGTGTGCATGTCGTTACTTTTGTTCATCCTTATAAGGAGTGATTATGAAAATTAGTGTAATTTGTAAAGGCGAACTGTGTTCGAGAATAGTTCTTTTATGTAGTAATAGTCAACCGTTTCCAAAAAAGCCCCTATTTTCAAAAGAGAATATAGTTGTAAATCTTGTTTTTCTTATCGAGTAAAATCGAGTGTGCGTTCTAGTTTATCGTTATCGAAATCGTATAGAATTGTTTTCTCCAGAAAATCCTATATTTTCTGCTATAAAATATTCGTAAGTTCTGTTTCCACTGTGTAAACTTGCATATGTGTGTGTTAGTTTATCGTTTTCAAAAATCGTTTACAAATATTTTCCATAAAGTCCTACGTTTTCTGATTTGTAAGATAGCAGTATTAGGACTCCATACTTGTTAGATGAAAGAATCAACATGGCAATTGTGGACATTCTACGCGATGAAAAAGGACAGTCAACGCGACAAATGCGGACCATCACTTATCATGTGTAGGACAGTCAACACAATGTGCCAAAATTTATTTATGAGGTTTTTCCTTGCATAAATTTCTAGATAACATAACTTATTTTAGTGAGTCGTTATAACCATACTAATATGACGGAAACCTGTTTTGGCGTTTCTCAGGTGCCCTTGTTTTTTGGAAAAGACATTTGTCACCCTAGACTGGCCGGTCTGGCTGTAGCGAACAGCGAAGGTACGGGGTGTCAACCCCGTATAGATCTATACACAAATTCCCGCTCTCCCTCCAGGAGACTCTGGCTATAACTCCTTACAGGACTTTAGACGTACACTAATATTTTTATATTTATGTACTTTTGAGGTTTGTCTGACTAGAATATTAACAACCTTTTTGAGTATTCGTTTGAAATCCATTATTTGTTAGATAAATAATGAAATTCGTACTCATTGAATAGAAATATCGTTCTCGTTCCATATCGTTTATTGTGCTTGTTAACTGG